AAAGCCCATTTGAAACTGTCCGCAAACTGAAGTTGTTGTTTTGTCGGGCCTCGCCCGCCCCAAACCCATACAAATAGAGCTGCTGGGGGCGCCACATCCAGAGGCGATCGGGCTGACGCGCTGCTGACATGCCTCGTCACGGACCTGCGGCGGGCGAGGACGAGGCCGGGCGGCCAGTTAAACAGACGACACGACGACCACGTCCGAACGGCGCCGTGCCACGATAGGACGTTTCGTTTGGGGAAAAAGAGGTCAGGGAGAATCGGCTGTGAGTGAAACAGAAGAAATGCGAAGGCGAATTATTGGCTGAGCCGAGGGGTGCCCAACTCTAAAAAATCGTGTACACCTGATTACCAAAAAGTGACGATTACCAAGGATTACCAAAGATTACCGAAGATTACCGAAGATTACCTATGATTACCAAGGGTTTCCGAAGATTACCACTGACAAAAGATTACCAGAGATTACCAAAGATTGCCATTGATTACCACAGATTACCAGTGATTCCGAAAGATTACCAGTGATTCTCAAAGATTACCAGTGATTCTCAAAGATTACCAGTGATTACCAAAGATTACCAGTGATTACCAAAGATTTCCAGGAATTTCCTGGCTGGATTACTTAGTGATTACCAAAGATTACCCGATGATTACCAACGATTACCTGGTGATTACCAACGATTACCTAGTGATTACCAGGGATTACCTTCGATTACTAGGGATTACCGGTGATTACCAAGGATTACCGGCGATTACTAGGGATTACCGGTGATTACCAAGGATTACCGGCGATTACCAAGGATTACCGGCGATTACCAAGGATTACTGGCGATTACCAATGATTACCGGTGATTACCAGGGATTACCTACTCTGTGTACACCTGATTACCTCAGTTGGGCACCCCTCGGGCTGAGCGATTAGCGAAGCCTATTACTCCAGTGATCAAAAAGTTTCGCGTCTGTGGGTCTGTCTGTGTGCCTGTTTGTCTGTCATCACGATAACTCGAGAACGGTTTGAGCTAAGTACGTGAATTTTTTTTTGTAACTTTGAATCATAAAAAGCAAGAACTGTATCGATTTAGAGCCCTCTAGCTCAAACAATCAAAAACAAAAAGCCCCCAAAATTTCTTTAGGAAAATATTTGTTTTTCATCATTCTGAGACGTAGCTCTTCAAAACAGAACCCGAAGTCCGAAGTAGCAAAATTTCGTCGTTTGGATCTACCTCTAACTGTTTAGTTGCCAGAGGGCGTTTTCCACACGGAACTGACCCCAAAACATTTTAGTGTTTTTTCTCAGATATTTATTGGTGTACGGCGGGGTAACTAATCACAACTAATCAAAATAAAACCCCTAGGAGGAAAATTTGTGACTTTTGGGGCCGAAAGCCTATTTACGTCTGCGCCTTTTGCTCGACTCGAGTGTTAGCGCCGCAGGCCTACAGGCCTACCTATCTACCTAGGTAGATGCACGCCAGGCGCGTCGCAGCGTAACAGCGTTTCGTGAGATATCGCGAAGCCTGTTACGCGAGACGTGGTCTGGCCTACGTCTGAGTCCTAATGATGATCTGTGTTCGTTGCATATCAACCTACTGCACCGTTCTGCCTTGTTCTTATTACCAGATGATACGCTTTATCTAATATAGAAGTTGTAGTAAGTAAAGTTATCAGTCCACCCGTGCAAGAATAAAGTCGTACTGTTATTCGCCAGTAAGCGTAAAGATGGATTTTTATATTCTCGAAATTCCTCGGGAAGTAAACTTGTTAAACTTACGGTTTGATATCTCGTAATGTGATGATTGCTGACATTCGGGTATGGGGTTATGCCTATATTTCCCGCCAATTTAGAACGGAAGACATTTTTCTCGCAAGTCAGTTATGAACTTTTCTTCTTTTGTAGGGGGGTGCCGCCAGCGACGTCTTGTGTGGGGCGTGCGACGTGCAAACGTGCAACGCAGGCACCTTTGATCCATCACAGCAGTTCCACAGTGCAGCGGGCCCGCCTCTCGGGAACCCCCACGAGGACGGCTGCTCCCCGCGCTATACTGCCTTCGACGACGGCAAGAAGTAAGTTTCTTTTGACTATTCGTCCGTAAAACTTTTGGCGTTCCGACTCGTGCCGCGCACGCTTGGACGCACGCACGCAGACGACACATTACTCTCTACTCTACTCTCTGTCTTTCTCTCTCTCGCCCGGTGAAAACAATGTCTCATTTTGTGAGGAAAAAGGGAAAACTTTGAGGACCCCCCATATTTGAGGAAAACTGCTCGGATGTTGCCTCACATTTTGAGGAACCTCCCCCAAATAAGTCTCAGGAGACTGCCAGACTGCCTCGAAATCTGAGAAGCTTTCCTCAAACCAAAGGGATTTCCTCAAAAAAATGAGACATTGTTTTTACCGTGCGTCTTTTTTCTAACTGGTCCAAGCCGCCGCGGCCCAAGCAGCAGCAGACGACACAAACACCAACCACATTCTCACGCACTCGCCGCCCCGGCGAAACAAAAGCACTTCTCTTTCCATTCCGCGCGGGTAAATTGAAACATCTCTCGCCCGCGGTCCTCTCTCTCCCCGGCACGCGGGACGTGGGTGGGCGGGGGCGCCGCGGTCCGCGAAACAGCAGCCGGATTAACAGCTCCAGAGCCTAGAGGAAGCGGCTTTCCCACAAAGGGTGAGCCGCCATGCTCTCCCTCGCTCTGTCGTTATCTCTCTCTTTCTCTCTCACTCTCCGTCTGGCGCCTGCTCGTGTACGAGTTCACCACTGATCCGCATGTCTCGTCCTCAAACAATGTGGCTGGATGAACGACGCGTCCTAAGTTCCCTCGTCGGAATAATTAATCGTACAAAATGACAAGAACAAAAAGACAATAAGTTGGATACCTTCTGCTGCTATGCGTCTCTACGAAATGGTCCCGCCACGCTCGGTGCGACGATCTCACCCTCGGCTTAACGGTCTAATATGCAAAGCCCTGTGTTTGTCCTTTGTACTCACAGCACAACGAGGTGACACCAGGGTGACACGGACAGGAACTATCGAGAAAACTAGGGCGGTACCTACTAACCTAATAGCGGGTGCCTCGCGCGGCTGACGGTCCTCCCCGGACCGATGGATTTCCGGTCGGTTGCTATGTGTTTTGCTGTCGTTTATTTCGTTTGCTCCTTTATCACAACTTTTCCGTCGTCGCTGCTTTCGCGGCCTTCAGTTCGCGCGCTCGCGGCGGGCGCCGGCGCGAGTCTGCGGGCGGTGTGGCGGTCTCCGGGAGCGTCTGTGGTGCTGCCCGGGCACGGCGCGGCGAGGGACTGAGTCCGGGAGGGGCGCGCGCCGCGCTCCAGACCGCCCCTCGCACGGCGCGGCCCACCCCGCAGCTTCCAGCCGGTCCACCCCCACCAAAGCCGGGCGGAGCCGGGCTGCAACGAGGACTAGTTGGCGTGGCGCGGTCTGCGCCCGCCCCGGGGCCGCCCCGCCAGGCCAGAGCAGCCAGAGCCTGGGCTCGCTCTATCTCAGTCTCTGTCTGATTTCACATTTGACAAATCCGGCAAGTCCGTCCGCAGCGAGGTCCCGGATGAGTTGTATATATCGGGTGTATCTTTGAATGCGCTCCCAGTGTTGCGAGATTGCGGCCACTCCCTAGCTCCGTAAGGCGCCATATTGCCCCTGCAGCCCTAGAGAGAGTGAGAACAACCGAGTATGAATCCTGGGCTGAGCGTACTTCTCCGCGTGTACCGGTTGTTTCATAAAAGACACACTCTGGCCGTAAAGCGGCATAGCCTCTTGGTTAGGCAAACCTACCCAACCTGCACCCGGTACTCTTCGTACTCTGTAATCCGGTGTCCCTCCCCTCCAAGACGACGAGAGACGCGACTCCTGGAAGGGACCGAGACGGTGGCAAAGCAATGCCAAATACGACGCAAGACGCATATATACACGACGCCGTAGCCCACCGCGAGTTCCAGGAATGAGCGGGGCTGGGTCTCCGTGGTGTGACAGGCGGCGGGCGGACACGGACACGGTGGGCTATTTTTAATCTCGATGATACGAAGACAGCGCGGCGACGTTGACGGCAGGGGGCGGCGTGGGGTTGAAAAAGAGGGGGGGGGAGGGGTAGGGGGGCGCTGCGCTGGTCGTGGTCGATGATGAGGCCTCGCCGGCGTCCTCGCGCTCCGCCTCCGCCTGTGTGACGGCGCGGAGGCGGTGGCACCCACCTGTCCCCGGACCGGAGGCAGCCCTCCGCCGCCACCGCAGCTGAGCCGACCACCGGAAGCGACCCGGGGGACATGCGCGCGCCCCTGCTTGTTCGAACAACCATAGAGGCCGTCGGACGGGTGCGGTGGGGCGCAGGAAGGAGGAAGACCCGGGAGCAGAGAGGTCCTCTTTGAGGAAGGATGAGGAGGAGGTAGGACAAGCGCAAGGGGCTCGAGTCGAGCCTGCGGTAGGGCCTCACCGCACCAGGTGTGTAGTAGTGTGGGGCGCGAGAAGCATTCCTGGAGGGCACGTGTGTGTGTGTGTGTGTGAGTGTGGTGCGGGGGGCGTCCGAAGTACGAGGGCGGAGTATGGTCGCCGGGGGAAGGCTCGGGGACCACGTGACCGGTATGGGGGGGGGGGCTGCGTATGGAATGGTGATTAGAAACCGATATGCTGCGGATGATGGATGGCTGGCCCACCACCTCCCCCATACCCGCCAACCACATACACACACGCGCGCGCGCACGCACACACACACACAAACACACACTCACTCACACACACACACACACAAACACACTCTCACACACACACACACACACACACACAGCGTGCCCCGAAGGTGCTCCGGAATCTCAATTATCCGTAGCATCGACAAGAACAAGCAGCAGCAGGCGAGCGCATCACTCGCTTTGGCTCCCGTACCGCCGCAGGCTGCCACCGCCACCACCGCATCCGAAATGGCTTGTGTGTGTTATTGCCAAGTAATAAGGTGCAACCCCCAAGCCTCTGCGGCTTTCGCCCTTCTGCTGAAAATCGTTATTTTGATTTTGCGACCATTATGTACATTTTGGCTGAGCTGGAAGCCTCGCTGTTGCTACTGCTGCTGCTGCTGCTGAAAGCGAGCAGTGAACTGAGAGCGAATCGTTGCCATGGCGCTTTTAATGCGCTCAGACGACACACCCGCGCAGGCCTGAATCGAGTAATTTATCTCGGATAGGGTCCTCTCCGAGCTTGATTACGATCCACGCCACCCGCCGATGTACAGGGTGGGTGATCTGCGCCGTCTTTTTAAAATGCTTATACTGTACCGGATTCACGCGTGCGGGCGGGCTTGCCTGCCGTCCCTCGCCAGGGCGCCTTACAGCGCCGTGCGAGTACAGTATAAGCATTTTAAAAAGACGGCGCGGATCACCTACTCTGTATTAGAGCGCGAATCGTGCAGATGAGCGATTAGAAGTAACGGGTGTTCTTTTTTTTTCTTGGTTGTTTACCAGCGTGTCAGTGTTTCAAGGACACTAGGAAAATTATATGCATGTCATTTCGGTCCGAACGTCACTGATGGCATTTTGATGTCTTGATTCACGCCCTTGTCGTTCAGTTCTAAGTCGACCGCACATGACTCAGTTATCTGTTTAATAATTAGTGTCGTATTCATTTTTTTTTTTCATTGAGGGAAAACGAAGAAACCCAGCGGAGCGCGTCACCGCCGGCCGTCTTCTTTCTGGTAGAGATAGTCTCGAAGACTATCTCGAAGACTAGAAGTCTAAAAATGAAATGTTTTGCAGCTGTATCCTGTTTAGGCGTTTAGAAACCGTAGTATATGCTGGACTGGGTGTGGTCCATCCGTGTTGCTCCTGGCAGTGCAAGTGGGTGCGGTGGGCGCGAGGAGCGGACCCACGGGATTCGCACTGCCGGCCGATATGGGGTGGCGGAGCGTAGCGGAACGCTGCGCTGGGCGCAAGCACACCAGTTGATTCCACGCCCCCTCGGGCCCTTGGGGTTGGCCCGTCCTCGCGGCTGCCCCCGGCCGCCCCCGGTCGCCCTCAGCCTCTCCCCGCCACCCTCGGCCACCCCTGACCGCACCTTACCCACCCCCTGCCCAGCAATGGGCACATTGTAAATTTAGAACGAGTCCTTTTGTTTTCATATTTATTTCTGTCTTCCTTTTTCTGTGCGAGGCTGCCGGCTGGGGAGCGCCGCCGCGCGGGTTAGGCTACCAGGTGGCGCGGCTGCAGGATGGGTTGCCTAACCCTCCGGCGCTCGGCGCGTCGCGGAAGTCGGGCGACGAGTCGGATCGTTCCGTGTTTGGCTTTGTGTACGCCATGACTGCTGTTGTTGACCGAACACTGAAGAGGGGTTGCGACGGGGACGACGGGATACGGGAGTGGGGTGATGGTGGTGGGGGGTTAGTTACATGTAATCTTCATCCTAACTTTTCTTGTTATGAGTTGCTGTTGGCCTTGCAAATGTATATATAATCATGATATAACCGTGTGTAAGCTCTTGCTGGGAGTATACGGCATGTCCCACGCTAATTTCATTTTTCGTGCAGAATTATGTGGGGGGTAACGTTTTACCCGCTGCACGCTGCTGGGGGCACCACCTTTTCTAAGGGGGGCGGTGGAAGTCCCCCCCAGCGTATCGCGGCCTTCAGCACGGCTGACCCTGGGCCTGCAGGATGGCCCTGCAGCCGCCCCTGCGCGTCCGCCTGCAGCCTGCTTCCTGCCGTGCGTGAGCGGGGTTCCAAGAAGGCGCCGCAGGCCCCGCCCCGCGCCCCCGGGCCTGTCAGCCCTTTGCCTGGTGAATAACCCAGCGAGGCGGAAGAGGAGTTTCGCGGGCGTCGTGTGTCTCGGGGCGGCGGGGCCACGGCACGGCCGCCGGAACAGGCGCCATGGGCGGCGGGGGGCGCGTCACGGCCTCACGCGTGCGCGCCGAAAGCCATGGGCGAGAGAGAGAGAGAGAGAGAGAGAGAGAGAGAGAGAGAGAGAGAGAGAGAG